TCAAAGCAACAAGAAGTCTCGATTAAAACTAAAAGTAGTTTAAAAACAAAGATAAAAACTTATCTCAAATACTCCACCAAACTCTTGAAGTTGTTTTGAATCTCTTCTCTCTTACAACACTCTTAACTCTCACAATAAAACTAAAAAAAAAAGATAAAGTAAATTTGTAGTGCTTGAAAAATCTCTCATTTTTCTTTTAACTTCCTTCTTTTATAATTTTCCAAGAGGTGTCTTGGTATCTCTTCAAAATGTGTCCTGATTCAATCTATTTTCCAAGGGATGCCTCCTTTCACAAGTCTTTTAACCATATTTTTATTTCTAGTGGTCATAACCACAATCTTTAGCCAATAGATGTCTCAAATGTCCATTCAAAATTTGACAAAATGAATTAACTCGTCAAATAACTGTCTCTAGCGCTCTCTAGCGCTTAAGCGTGGGGCCTCTCGCTCTTAGGCGCGGTCTTCTCTGTTTCGCCGGCGCTTAAGCGCCGGATCTGACGCTTAGGTGTCAAAACACTTTTACACTATTTTTTTCATTTTTGCTCCAAATTTGATCATTTTTCATTTTCTTTTAGCATTTTTCACCTTTTTACTTGTACCTGAAAGAAAAACACATAAATATCTTTCATTAAAGCGCAATATCTCAAAAATAGGTATAAAAATGTGTCTAAAAACACTATATATTTTAGTTGTATCACAGATCAGTGGTGAGTTGAGATGACATCGGTAATCCACAAGTGTAGGAGTCAGGAGTTGCACGGAAGGAGCTTTAAAAGTCTGAAAAAATTCATTTGTCTTTGGGGTGTATTATCACACCGTTTTCGGGAGGTGTTGTTACGCCATAAGTGAGATGCATTTTTACTTTTAAATGTACGACGAGGTTTTTAGTGCACATTGTGACTTAACTGGAAGGAGTAGGCGGCCGGAACTTGTCGGAGGACAACAATAAGTGGAGTTAGCTGGAGGGCGGCAATGACCGAAGTTGGCCTGAGGGCAGCGACATCCAGAGTTGGCCTACATTCGTATGTCATCATTATGGCCTACGTAGTCCACCACTCGTAGAGCTCCCACCCTACAACCTATGGACAACATCTATGCTCACCGCTATGACATACATGACCAACATTAGCCTACATGGTGCACAACTCTTGCAATACCCAACTCTTGCCCATGCGACCTCTGGAAGACTTCCACAGGTCATCACTATGGCCTACGTGACCAACTACAACCTATGTACAACTCATGCGGCTCCCGACTCCATCCCTTATGGACTAGAAACATCTTCAAAGCTCACCACTACATCTTAAATGATCAACTATGGTCTATGTGTCTTATAACTCTTGCACTCCCAAATCTTACCCATTTAGGTTATGGATGTCTTTGTAGCTCACCGTTGTGGCATAAGTGAACAATTATGGCCTAAGTAGCTGACAAATCATGTAGCTCCCAACTTCAGCCCATACAGGCTACAAACGTCATCGTTGGCATTATTTTTGGTGTCATTTGTGTGAGATGCCCACTTGAGCAGCATAGGATTGTGCCTCACACATATACTCTTCCTATATCATCAGATATCCATCAGGACCCTCTGAGGCACTCTTCTAAGCCCAATAAATGAATATCCACGCATATAATGTGCCTCGTAGCTCTTATGGCCCAGTTAGGCCATGTAAACATAGCGTGAATCCTATGAGTCGACTTGATTATTTAGTAGGCCATGTCTGTTGATGAGTCGCTACCCATTTGGGATGTGAAAAACTCAATATTTGCCCCGTAGCTTAGCAAGAGCTTTGAAAGCATTAGGATGTTCCTATGAAATAACCATCATTTTAGTGACATATTTACCGAATATGATAATATAAGCAGGTCCACTTTTATTGTAAGTATTCTTGGTTATCCCATAATATGTAATTAACCAAAGGGATACATTTCTTTAGGAGTGCTCTTGACCCCAAAACAAAAATGACTTTTTGGTTCTCTGGTTATGGGTGGCTTATATTGAGATTTTATTCATGAATATCATGTTTCGAGGTATTTCGATTTGATCTTGCTAGGATGCATACTCTTGACCTATTACACGAGGATTACAAATATTTAAGTTTTCCATATTTCTTTTTTAAATTTGTTTGTCTATTTTTATCATATAACCCTTCTTTATCAATTATTGTTCTCTTTAGATCGTTAAATAATTCAAGAAGGAGATTTATTTTGAAAGGGAAATCATAAGATATCGACATATATAGAGACGAGCAGATGACTTTGAGTTTTTTAAAAATAACAAAAAATACTCGTCACATTTCACCAATACGATCTACATTACTAATTACAACCTATGTGGCTTGTAGCTCCAATAGTTTTGTACTACGACCTGTGTGGTTAATCGATGTTCTTAAAGCAAGCATATGTTATTATGACTTACAACTACGACCTATAAGACAAGCTGGCACTACAAACACATTCTCTAACATCTACGGTAGACTATTGCTTCCATACCAATCGACTATGACCTTTGCAACTTATTATCACCGAGAATTACACTAATTACAACCAGACTACAACTATAATCGATGAACCGATATTGTGAATTTACAATGATCATCTTCGTAACTTCATTTTCTTTAATTTAGGAGAAAAGTGAACCTATGTACTCACCTAGTCATCATTCATAATAGATTATTTCAATTGGGCTAGGCCTCATAATTTTTCTCTTTTCTAGGGTTTTCCAAGTCAAATTGAGATGCCTCCACCTATTTATTTCCCTTTTTAATTATCTGAGTGTGTGATGAGTTTCTGTGCAACGCTAAGACGATAATTCATTACTCTACCACTGCGGACCTTTTAGGACACATCAATTACTACGTCAAATTATGAGTTGTTCCTTTGTATGCTCATAAAATCTTAGAGAGTAACCAATGGAAAATAAAAAATTATTAAAATTATTCTTGAATCGTCATCAAGAAATTTTGTATAATCCAGCATGAATCTTCATGCAACTTTTAAAAAATAAATAATCCATATCCAAATGCAAGATCATTTAGGGTTTCATTTTGAGTAGGCTTATAATTAAAATGACTTTATCGACGAGACGAACCCAATGATACTAAAATTGTTTCAGTCTGACTCCAATCAAACCATTAAAACATATTTAGAGACTTTGGATCGACAATTGAATGGTCAAATAAATTCCAAAGTTGAACCATTTATAGTCAAATAAATAGTCTCGACAAGAGGAATCCAACGAGCCCAACATCACTTGATTATGAGGTCATTAAGGCACTCAACTCTTCACTTGAGGGAGAAAGGGAAGCAAAGAAATTTTAGAGCTCATTATGAACTGAAGACCCTACGATAATTCCCATTCTAATTACGAGTCTACCACAACCGATCATTCCTACTTGTTGACGCAGACCTTCCACCATCGTCGACCCCTGTGTAGCAGTCAAAGACTATACGATAACTTTAAGCCGCCGACCACCGTCAACACCTTCATCGCTGACCACATGCCACCAACAACCACTGCTTACGATCATCTTAAACAGAATATGACAATTGTTCCTAACACCCATCTTTTTATGTACGATGCATACCGACAAGCATTGTATATGGTATATGGTGTACAACAACAAGTCCACTCTCCTAGCTATGAGAAAATGATATACTTTTGTACTTAAAACACTTATAGCATATTACTTTAATTGATTAGCCAAGTCTAGAAGTCATCCAATACCAAAATATCAAATGAAAGTTTTGGTGATGTGTCGCCCCAATTGCAACTATGCCGTTTTAGGGACTAAACTTGAATTGGTCACCATCCCATGTCATCTTTTATAATGATGATAATAAATGCTGCTCAAGAGAATTCAATGGAATATAAAGATTCTTTTGTTGCTATTTTAAAAATGAGATTTGCAAATCTCCCAAATTGTCGGCTTGTAATTCCTTTTTCAACACGAATATGTTTATAGAATATTTCATTTTTTTTTTCTATAGATATTTTTATTCTATTTTATTTTATTTGTGAGTTGCATCAGAATTTTAAAGTAAGAATTTATATAGAGATTATAAGGAAAATAGTTGGGAGAGAGAAAAATATCATTGCAAAAATTAAAATTTTAAATTCTTAACTCTCAAAATTCTTTATTTAAAAGGGGCGATTACAAACTGGTCACCTCTAAACTTCTTATTTATAAATCAACCATCATCTTTCATTACTTTTTCAAATTCTCTCTCAAATCTTACCGTAAATTCCAACTCATAATTTTTTTATTTTAATCATATTCTTAATGATTTCATCATGACAGATGTAAATACATCAGTTTGATGGTTTAAAGTTGAACGGTGAATTTGTAAATATCACAGTTTTTTAGGCCTATGTGTAATTGTTCGTATTTATATGAACAATGATCTAAATTTTATAAATTTAATATATATATAAATTTTATAAATATATATATATATAACTTCCTCACACGTGAGTTTTCAGAAATTCCACAAAAAATTTCGCACGTGTCCCGCTAAAACTCGTTATCCGTCGAATCGAAATCGCTAAAGTATCGACACGTGTATACCACCGGGCTCCGGCGGGCCGTTTGCGCCGCTTGTTTCGCGATAAAGCTCTTTACTCTCTTTGCCACGTGTCATTGTCCCTTTCACTGACACCTGGCAACATTGAGGGGCATTATCGTAGTTTCTTTTCGTTTATCTGCGATCCATCCGAAACGCCTATATTTACGGCATCTGTTCTTCGCTTTCTCTCTTCCCCGCAGCCGGCGACTCCTCAGATTTCCATATAGTTGATTCTGTGATCTGTTACTATATATATGATCTAAATTTCTCTTTTTTTTTCCTTCCTCTCGATGAAAAGTGATTTCTTTATGCAGTTACTTCTTTCCAATCTCAAGCTTTCAGATTCACTCCGCCTTATTCATACCTCGCCGCCGGCGATCTGTCAGAGACTCCGTCTCTTTCTCTAAATTTAGTGTGGAAGATTCATCAAATTCATCAAATTCCTCCCTTTCTTTCTCTTTCTCTTCAACAAAACAGAATCATTTTTGCCATGCTGTTTAATTCAGCCGACGGTCCTTCATCGTGTTTGTCATCATAGCGATTTAGTGTGGCCGCTTCATCAAATTTGTCAGTTTTGAGGATAGATCCAATGAAAACAGAGGTGTGTGCAGAAACTAGGGGCATGCTCTCTGCCTCCAGATCTAGAGACCTGCTCCTGCGCTTCTCCGGCGGGTTCGCTTCAGATGAGGCTGCGGAGGCAAATAGCAGCGATTCAGATGAGATCGAGCTCGGTCTTTCGCTTGGCGGGTGTTTCAACTCATCCAACAATCATAAAAATCGGATCTTGCGATCTTCCTCCATACCAGCGATCCTCCCTTGCGAGGTTCCGCCACTGTTTTCCCTGTTCCGCACAAGCTCGCTGCCGCAGGAGGAGTTTCAGGGCAAGACGAGGATGGAGGTGAAGAGGAAGTGGGATGAGATAAGGTGTTTTGGAGGAGCTGGGGAGAGAGTGGATGAGAATTTAAAGGAGGGGCAGGTTTTGAAATTGAGGAGATTTGAGGTTAAGAATGAGGGTTCGTTGGTTCGAAGTGGTGGCCCGGCGAACGGAGTTCCTTCTCCTGCGGCATCAAGGTGGATGGCCGGAGCTGGGATGTCTCCAACGTTGACGAAAGGTATGGCGCTGGCGTCGCAGGGTTCTGTTGTGTCTGAGGGGAGTAACTCTTCGGGAGGATCGGAGTTGGAGAACAGAGCAGGTCAAGGTATGAAATGAGAAGTGAAGTAAAATTCATGACTTTGAATTCAATACAAGAGTTTTTATTTTTTATTTGTATGCATAATCAAATATCAATTTTTTCATAGGATAATTGCAAGTATATTATCAGATAAATCGCTTAAAAACACTGTGAGAATTGCTCTATTTGTTTTTGCATCAAATCTGCAGTTAATTGTGAGGATTGATTGATGCTTTGTTTTATCCACCATGTTGATTTTTTAGCTGGCTGGCTATGTTCAACTGTTATTAGCGGCAATTTTTCCCATTTACTTTTGCCCTTTTGAGCCTTTAGGCCTCTTCACTACATCATTTGGCTGGAAGATCTACATAAACATCTCTTATTTCTTTTGTATTTACATATCTAACATCTAAATTTTAATTTTTAAGTATATGCCATCTTACCTACGCATAAAAAGGTGTCTTTCAATTTTTAAATGTTAAAATAGTGGTATTCTTTTATCTAATATGAAGAATTGGGTGGTATAAATATGAAATGTAAAGTTTAGATGTTAGACATGTAAATACATAGGAATTGGATGGTATGTATGTAAATGCCCGTGCCCTTTAGATTCATAGTTTGTTATCACATACATACATACATATAATTATATCTATACATACTCTATGTGTGTGAGAGAGATTGATGTGAAGTGCTTTCATATGAGAAGTAAAATAGTCACACATCAGAATTGAATCAAATCCTGAGTTTCTTATGCACCAACAATTGATTGTTTAATGGGCCATATACATACATAACACACAATTCTTATGTATTTATGTATCTCACACCTAAACTCACACCACACCTAAACTTTCATATTTACACACATAGCACTCAAATCCTTAATATCACATCAAAACTAGCACTATTACCTCTTTTTTAAATGTAAAATACATCTTTTCATGCATAGGTTTAAAGACCAAAGTGTTGAACGTGTAAATATGGAAGTTTATGTGTAAGATATGTAAACACCTAAGAATTATGTGCTACGTATGTAATTTTTTTTTTAATTAATTCATTAGCTTACACTTTGGATTAAAGAGCTCCTCTCTATCCACAAACATTTTTCCTACTTCTAATGTATTGCTTCTGCTTCTTCAATTATACACCAACCAGGCATTGATTTAAGAGAAGTTAGCTTCCTCTTTGAAGAACTATAAACTGTTTCCTGAACAAAACTGTATCTTCTTCTTCCATCCCTCAGGCTTTGAACTCACTGGATTCAGCCATGCTTCAGAAACCAGAAGCCCTTCCAGGTTCATGATAATCTCAGAACAAAACAATCACAAATCTCCTCCCTTTTCACCATTATCAGCAACACCTACCATCAGCAATGTCATTATGAGTAATGAGCCCCTTTCACTAAAGAACAATGGTGGAAGATACAACAATGGGACCGGTGAGCTCAGCAAGAGCACGACAAAGATGCCGATGGTGTCGACGAAAGTGGAGGGTCCAAACGGGCGAAGCATACAAGGTTTCCTCTACAAATATGGGAAAGGGGAGGAAGTGTGGATAGTTTGTGTGTGCCATGGAAGCTTTCTTACTCCTGCAGAGTTTGTCAAACATGGAGGTGGTGGTGATGTTGCTCATCCTCTTAGGCATATTGTTGTAAATCCCAATTCAGCTGCTTTTTTGTGATGAAGAAGATGGTTAATGAAGCAGAGTTTGGTCAAAAAAGCGAATGATAAGAAATTGGTTGGATTAACGAACTGTTGGAGAGTTTGTACATTCTCTTCAGCATATTATTGTAAATCTCAGCCCAGCAGCCTTCTTGTGATGAAAAGATCAAGCTAGTATATGTAGCAATGTCTAGCAATTTTTTTTTTCTCTTTATGTTTTTTTCTTGTTGGAGCGGCAAAATTCTGATACTTTTTTATTTATATGTATAGAAAGTTTTATTTTTGTTGCTATTTGCTTGTTTGCTGTACTTTTCTGAAGCTGAAAACATTGCTGTGTATTACTAATTTGCAAGTTCAATGTGCTTCATCTGACATGGTAGTTGGTTGTTTATTGAAGTTTTCTGAAGCTGAAAACATTGTTTTTTAATTACTTGTTGAAAAATATTACATTAAAAATTATATTGTGTGTATTGAATTACCAATTTGCATTTTTCTACATTCAAAAACATGTTTGCGTATAGAAATACTATTTGCTTTGTTACTAGTTTTCATTTTTCTACTATTTGCTTTACTGAACTTTTCTAAAGCCAAAACATTTTTGTTTATTACATGTGACTGTTTGCTTGAGCTGGAACACTCTAACATTAACAAAATTGCATTTTCAACCGCTCACAATTAACAGAATTGCATTTTCAACTGCTCACCACTCCAAAAATTAAAAAAGAATTTTGCTTGTGTTGTGCTATTTATTTCACTTTTTTTCTTAACTTTAACCTCTTTGTTTCCTTTCTTCTATTTCTTTTCTTAATAATCCTCCTTCTTGTATTATATAGTCTTTATAGAAATGTGTATGATCTTTGAGCCTTTATAGAAATGTCAAAGGTGAGCTTAGTTCAGTTTGATATATGATTGAAACTCAGATTTTCAAAATATACACCGAAATAAACATAACAAAATGAAATCGAGCTGCACCATCTATGTTTGATTTTCAGTTTTAATAATTATACACCAAAATAAATATTACAAACACTCTCCTGTGATTGTTCACTTTGTTTGTAGTTAATATGTTGTGCATTTCAGCAAAATTTTTTTGTTTGAGTCTTTCTTTCGCCCAACTCCCTATAAACTTGCTGGTTATGGGATAGTGTTGTTTAGTTCATTCCAGCAGTTTTGTTTAGATCATCAATCAATCTTTCTGCAAGGATAAAGATCTATCCATCATCTTCTTCTTCCTCATATATACCCTAAAACCTCTTTTTCTTTCAACACAAATGTCGACGTCTCCATTATCTGAAACCCATGACACCCCCCTTCCTGGAATCAATGCCAACCACCACTATACCGCTCACATTGAAATTTCTGTTAAATAACCTGAGGAATTTCCCCCAAACATGCCCCCTCCTCCCCCCCACCTTAATCCTACAAATCAGTACTACCAACTTCTCAAACGCCTCCTACAATATCTACAAGGAACACTTGGCTCCAGGATGCTCATCAAACATGGGGACCTCTCCTTACAAATATACTCCGACGCTGATTGGCCAGGCCATTCGATGAACCGAAAGTACACCATTGGATTTTGTTTCTTGGTCACGCTCCTATCTCTTAAGACAGTTAAGAAAGAGCAAATCGTAGCTCAGTCATCCACGGAGACGGAATGGGGCGCCTTAGCTACGGCGACGGCTGATATCGCATGACTTCGTCGATTTCTCAAGGAGTTGAGTGTTGAACAACAAAAACCAACGAAGCAATGTTGCAACAATGTCTCTGCCATGGCTCTTGCTAATAATTCAGTATTGCATGCTTGGGCCAAGCATATAGAAATTGATTACAATTTCATTAGTGGTGTAGCACCTATGGATCAAAAACCAAGAACAACAAAACAGGAAGCAAATAAGAAGAAGATGAAACAGAAGTTTTCTGCATTCCCAGTTGAAGAAAATATCAGAAGTGCTTAGCTAACTAACTGGAGGGGACCACTCCCATCATAACTTGTAATTAAGAAAGTAAAATTAGCATAAGTGGTCTATTAGCAAATAACTAAGCAAATAAAGATAAGTAGCCAAGTGTATCTAGAAGATTCACATCTAGTTATGGAATAGCCGCATCAGTTCCCTTCCATCTTCGAGGAACTCGAATCGAGCTCATAAATTTTTGTTATCCCTTCATCAAGTGGATGATAAGCATAGAGATCAGACACATTAAATGTAGATGAAAAGCTGAGATCTGGGGGATGTTTAAGAGCATAAGCTTTATCCTTGATGCATTTGCTAATAGGAAAATGTCGAATCTTGCGGGGTTTAATTTTGAATATACTCCTTGTGGGAAACAATCTCTGCGAAGTAGCACCATAACTAGGTCATCTTCTTGAAAGATTTTTTGCCTTCAGGATTCCTAAGCTTGTTGTTTGTAGTATTCTAAGGAAATTGTGAGCTTATCTTTGACTTCTCGCAACATAGATTCAAAGTTGTTCACCCATGTTTTGGCATTGTTGATTTTTGGTTTTGGAATGATGGCAACATCCACTAACTGTTTGAGGCAGTTTCAACTTATTTAAAAAGCTGGTTTGCAGCACCTGCCCTGGGAAGCTACTGCGGGAAAGGTGCTACGGAAAAACTGGTTGTTTATTTGTTTTTTACAGTTTGAAAACAAATGTTTGACAGTTGTTTCTGAAAAAATGATTATATGTCTGTGTAGTAATATTGTTTATAACAAAACCGTCATAATTATAAATTTGATACTTCAGAAACGAAAATCCACTTCACAACAATACAAAAATCCATATATACAACTCATTTAATAGTGAGTATCAAGATTGCTAAAAAAATGGAAAACACTATTAAAATTAAAATGGTTGAAGGCTCTCCCAAGTAGGCATGCTTGAGGTGGCTTGGCAAGGTTTTTAGATCTAGCTTATATAAATAAAAAATTATTTAGAATTTAAAATTTTAAGATATAATTTTAATTATTAATTGACTATTAAAATAATTTATCTTTTTTTTAATTAATGTTAATATATATAGTTATTTATTAATTATTAATAAATTTATCTCCCTCTTACTATTCCCCTCTATGCCTGAAACCCTCTCCTACATCCTCCCCATCTCCCAGTTTGGGACGGCTTCCGGGAGATGGAAGCGACGATGGACGGCATCACCAAATAGTAGAGAAGCAACGAGGGAAGTCGTCGTCGAACAACAGAGAAGTGATGAGAGATTCGACGTCAACAAAGGGAAAGGCCAGTAGGGCAAAGGAGCAACGAAGGGGTAAAATTAATAATAAGCCATTTCTCGAATGCGGGCCGGGGGTTCGATCCGCGACCCGCATTTAACCAAAACGGCAGGATGCCACGGCTTGTATGCCCAAACGGTTGCAATTCGCGGCCAGCCCCCTCACCGCGCTCTAGACACCAAACCAAACGGACCCTAAGTGATTCGGTTCTTTGGTATAAACAATGCTAAATGGAGAGGGACCCATTAAACGACTAACCAAAGAATTAAAAGCGAATTTTGCTTGCCCCAAATAGATTTCCCATTATTTTGGTTGGCTACTTGCAAGATAACTAATCATGTTTCCTAACGATGGATTGAAAACTTCAATTCACCCATTTGTTTGTTGGTGATAAACTGAACTTAATCATAGATTGGTCTTGAGTTGTTTCCACAATTCCATCCAAAAGCAACTTATGAATTTGACATCGTGATCTAAAGTAATGCTCCTTGGAATGCCATGTAGGCGTACAATCTCTTTAAAGAAAATTTTAACAATGTTGGAAGCTTCATACATCTTCTTGCAAGCTACGAAATGAGTCATTTTGGAAAAACGATCAACAACCATCATGACGAAATCGGATCCGCGTTTGGTGCAAGGCAGACCCAAAATAAAATTGATGCTAAGATCCTCCCAAAGGGAATATGAAATAGTTAATGATAGGTAAAGACCGATATTCTAACTTGTGCCTTTATAAAGTTGGCACACCAAACACTTTTCCACAAATAGTCACACGTCACTTCGCAATTTGGGCCAAAAGAATTTAGATTGGACAAGTTGGAGAGTTCGATCCCTACCCGCATGAGCTGCCAATCCTCCTCAGTGATAGTCGAGACTAATTTGTTGATGAAGGGAAGTGTAACGAATGCACAATTGGTTAACCCTAGAATAGGTAACCTTGGTGAATGGAGTAATCATTTTGATGGGAGTGCTTCTTACAATTCATCCTAACAATTGAGAATTCTTTATCATCATGGTAAAAATCTCGCTAATAATGCCAACAAAAAGGAGAAGAGATGGGATAAACGCCTACCACTAAAGAAGAATTCACACATCTTCTTTCCTATAAACTTATTGCAAACTAATTAGATTGATTTTAACTCCAAACTTGCTCCAATCTACATATTCTTATTTTCTTAAAGTTGTTATGAGTACACTGCCATTTTAACTGCACATTTTCATATCATTAAGAATTCATTTGATCTCTAAAACATATTTTGAAGTCAATTTTTAGTGAGTTCTCGCTCCTTTTTATTAATTAAACACCCCAATTAATATATGAGAAAAAAACATATGATTCATCACTTTAGGATTTTAGGATCCAATATTCAATTGCAAATAGTATAAATTATGATCTTGCCATTTTTTATAGCATAAATTTAATCCTTATAAATTCTTATAACGATGCATATATATATATATATAAATATATCAAATAAATTGATTTAAGCTAATTTAAAAACCACTTCTTGTTTGATTTTTCTTACTTAAAATAATTTTTCCTCTTTAATATTCTTCCTATGTTAACATACACATAATTTATATATTATAGGCATCCAATTCCCAAGTCCTCACCATGTTGCTTAAAAGAAACTTATAGATAACAACTTGTTTTGATTCTCTAATAAATCCAAATTATTTAAACCAACTTTAATGATTCATATGAAATCCAACAAAAGCTTAGGAGCATATTCTATGATATCCTAAGTGTTTGGCTTTGGTGCTCCACTACTTCTTGTGGAAACAAGATAAGTTCTATAAACTTATAGTATTGTTCTAGCTGAAATAATGCAAGTTTTTTTTTCTCATAATATTATTTTCTATTTTATTAAATGGAGATCAATTACATAAATCTAAAATAATTCATAAGTATTAACAAGTTGATGCT